GCACTGGTTGTACACTGTCGTCTTCAAGTTTTGAGGTATACCTGACGAGAATATTTGTTGTAATTTCCCGAACGCTGCCCAGTCGAGTTGAATTTTTCTGTTAACAAGTTCGCAGTAGTAGTCCAGAGTCAGGAAGTTGGCGGTGATTCACCATGTGCCTCGGAAAACACGTAAAGCCGTTATTCATGTGCCTGATCACTCTTCCATCATTTCGAATTATCATCCCATCGGACTATGAGAGTGAGGGAATAGAGAGTGCACCTGTGCTCGCTCGAACACTCGGCCACTATAAACCTGTCCTGCGCAGATAACTAATCTCCGTTGAGTGTGGCCTTGAATGAAATTCGGTCTCGAGGATATTATCATTATCTCTATCCTCTATCATATCACTCTCAACGCAAAGCTTCAGTGGGGCCCCCATATATCCAAATTAGCAAGCAGACTAAGTTCTGCAGCCTATGCTGTAAAAAAGATTAGAGGTCTCACTAGTTTCGAGACAGCTAGATTAGTTTATTTATTTATTTATTTAAGGACAGCCAGAGGTAATTACAATAATACATGTTCACAAAACATAATATATAAGCTTAATTTTTAAATGTAAAACCTATTAAAGGCAGCCACAACATGCTTCACAAGAAGAGTAACACTTTATAACATAAATTACAAAATATTAGAAACATAACCTTAAAATAAATCAAAAACCAAGAAATACCAAAAATATTTAGAAAAAATATAATAACAGAGACACCTTAAAACAATACAGGGGAAAAAACACAATAATCAATTAAACCAAATAACAAAATTAATACGTATCGAACTCCTAAATATTATCTTTTAAGTACTGTAGCACTGTTTTTTTTAAAGAGGACAAAGAATTGCTAAAAATGTCCACAGAATCCGACATCAAATTCAGCATGCGTGACATTCTAACTAAACTATTGTAATGACCTAGATTAGATTTAGAAGGAAATGGATAGAACAAAGGTACAGATTTACGCGGATAACGCCTTGGTACTTTAAATTTTATTTTTCGCAATAGCTCAGCGCTGTCCGTAGTTCCGCGTACTATTTTATAAAACATTACCATGTCTAGATACTTTCTTCGGTTTGACAAGCTGTCAACGCCGAAGAATTTTAACTTCTCATTATATCCGGCCAGTTTTTTGTCATTTATATTACTACAATAAGCTAGATTCCTCATAAACCGTTTTTGTATCCTTTCTATACGTAGTTGATGGACTTTGTATTGTGGTGACCATATTACGCTCCCATATTCTATTATGCTGCGGACATAGGTATTAAATAATATTTTTTTAGTTGTGATATTCTTAAAGGTTTTACTGTTTCTTAATATGAAGCCTAAAGTCCTTGAAGCTTTCTCTATCATGCGGTTCATTTGTGGAATAAAAGTCAGTTTAGAATCCAAAAAAATGCCGAAATCCTTAATAAGATCCACAATCTGTAATTCTTCGTTATTTATTTTATATTTCATTTTAATTGGAGATAATTTACGTGTGAAAGAGATTTGATAACATTTAGTTGGATTGAGCTGCACATTATTAATGCTACACCAATTTACTAGACCATCAATATCATCTTGCAAAAATTGTGAATCATTGGAACAATTAATCACTCTAGCTATCTTTAAGTCATCTGCAAATAATAGGACCTTACTATTTCTTATTTGTTGATCCAAATCATTAATGAACACGTTAAATAGCCACGGTCCCAGGTGAGAACCTTGTGGAACGCCAGAACTGGATATATAGTTATCAGACCTGTAACCGTTTAGTACTACATAGTTAGTTCGACCACGTAGATACGACTCAAACCAACCAACCATAGACCCACAAAAACCGTAATTAGATAATTTATGCAATAGAGTTCGATGGCACACTCTGTCGAATGCTTTAGAAAAGTCTGTATATATACGAGGGTGGATTGAAAAGTACTCGGCCTAACACAGATCCATTCAATTCTAAAAATCAAATCTACCCACATTATTTAGTTCAGTTCAGACTAGTTCATTGTGTGAAGTTCGAAACGTGTGCAATAATTAGTTGTGATTTTATAAATTTATTAACAAAGTAATCGGACATAATTTCCGCGAATGGAGCAAATCGAGCAGCGTGCCGTCATTAAGTACCTCCATAAGAAGGGGCTATCATCAAAAGCCATCCATGATGACATGGTCAGTACATTAGGCGATTGTGCTCTGTCATATTCATCCGTCAAAAAATGGATAGCAGAATTTAAGCGTGGTAGAGAGAGTGTGAAAGATGAACCCCGCTCTGGAAGGCCTTCGACGTCAACTACTGACGAAAATATTAAAAAAGTACTTGATTTAATAATGGGAGACCGCAGATTAAAAATTAGAGAGATAGCCGAGATTATAGGCATCTCTTATGAATGAATTCAAAACATCATTGTCAACGAGTTGGGTTTCCACAAGGTGTCTGCGAGGTGGGTTCCGCGACTGCTTTCAGTTGAACAAAAAAGGACGCGATTGACTATTTCACGCGACTGCTTGGAGTTATTTGAAGCCGATGCAGATGATTTTTTGAATCGTTTTGTTACTATGGACGAAACATGGGTTCATTACTGTACACCGGAAACAAAACAACAATCAAAACAGTGGAGAAGACCTGGTTCACCACCCCCTAAAAAGGCTAAGTCGATTTTGTCGGCAAATAAGGTGATGGCTTCAGTATTCTGGGACTCGAAAGGTGTGATTATGATTGATTATCTTGAAAGGGGTCAGAATATAAAATCTGATTACTACTGCACCTTACTACGTTGTTTACGATAGGAAATAAAAGAAAAACCTCGAGGAATGCTCAGAAGAAAAGTCCTGTTTCATCAAGATAACGCCCGTGTTCACACGTCAGTACAGTCAATGGCTGAAATTCACAACTGTGGCTTTGAACTGTTACCGCATCCGCCGTATTCACCTGATCTGGCACCATCAGACTTCTTTCTGTTCCCTAACCTAAAAAAGCACTTGGGAGGTCAAAGATTTTCGACAAACGACGAGGTCAAAGCAGCTGTAGACGCATATTTTGACTCTAAGGAAGAATCATTTTTTTTCAACGGTCTAAATGCTTGGAAGGGGAGGTGGCAAAAGTGTATTGAACTTGATGGTGATTATGTAGAAAAATAAAAATGTAACTGATTTAGTATTTGTTTATTTTCTTGGTTAGGCCGAGTACTTTTCAATCCACCCTCGTAGCATCTACTTGAAGTTGAGTGTCGACTTTTTCTGTTAAGAAACCTACATAAGATATTAAGTTCGTTATTGTTGAGCGATTTTTAACAAATCCATGTTGGTTTTCAGAGAGGTAGGGCTTAAAATAGCTAGATAAATAAGGATAAACTACGGCTTCAAATATCTTCGAAAAAGCTGACAATATAGATATTGGTCGATAATTAATAACATTTTTACTATCGCCGTTTTTGAATACTGGGACGACTTTTGTTATTTTCCATTTTTCTGGAAATACACCCGATCGCAATGATTCGTTGAAAATTATGGTTAAGGGCTTGCTAAGTGAAGAAGCACAAATATTTATAAAAACTGGATGAATTCTATCCGGACCAGCTCCTTTATTTTTATCAAGTCTTTTTAAATACTTGTAAACTGTTTTTTGTGGGATGTATAAGGAGCTAAAACAATTAGATGAATTTGTGATGGAATTATTAATGCTATTGGATGGTATGGGGACTGTGGCATTGGTATAAACGGACGAAAAATGAGTTGCAAAGAGGTCACATATCTTCGACCCCTCCGAACATATCTTGTTATTAAGGTTCATAGTTAATGGATATTGATTTACAAAATTACGCTTATTTTTAATGTAAGACCAAAAATATTTAGGATCGTTGCCTATACTACTTTCAATTTTAGAAATATATTCCTGATAACAAAGTTTTGTATAAATTTTGCAGCGTTTGCTTAATAATTGTAGCGATATTTCATCAAGCGGATTTTTATAAATTTTATATTTATGCAGGAGAGTTCTTTTCTCATTTATTATTCTTATTAAACCTTTTTTGAACCATTGTGGATATTTTAAACTTCGTGGCTTTGATTTTGGAATATACTTTTCTATTGTCTTATTAAGTATATCATAAAATATATTGATCATCTCATTAACATCATTACAATCAGCAAATTCAAGAGACCAGTTTATATTGTTAAGTGATGCCTTAATATTGTTATAATCTGCTTTAAAAAAGTTGTATTTAGTTTGCGATATATTTGATTTAAGTCCCGTCTGTGCATTAAAGGCAAAATTTATGACGAGAGGTGGATGGTAATGGTCAGTTTGGACTAAGCTATGAACTGAATACAGAACTTTAATATCTTTTATATTAGATAATACGAGATCAAGAACTTTATCATTTTTATTCTTTACATTATTATATTGTTTTAAGTCATTAAGAGATGAAAAATCTATTAACGTTTGGCCTAAGTTAGAGGCGCAACGAATTGGACTGCATGTCCAGTCAATATTGCTTAAATTAAAATCACCTAAGAGACACACATTTTCTAATCCTTCAGATACTTTATTAAAATTGTCTGTAAAATGTTTTAAAATAGTATGATTCACGGGGGGAGGCAGGTATACCGCACAAATCGTCATTTTGAATGTCGAGGATTCTATTTTTATCCATAAATCCTCACATTTACTCTCAAGCCCAACTAGCCTAGTAGATTTTAGCCTGTTAGAGACAGCTATTAATACACCGCCACCCTCTTTTGAACCATGAAATCCAGAGCTTTCGCGATCACGTCTATAAATACTATAGCGATTGTCGAGGACCTCAGCATTATTAATAGATTGGTTTAACCAAGTTTCAGTCAATATTATAATCTCATAATCAGCGCAGAGAGCATTACAAAAGAGATCATGTGTTTTGGTTCGGATTCCGCGGACGTTCTGGTAATATACAGATATAACATTAGACATCTGAGAACATGCACAATTAGCAAAGACAACCTACTCTAAATTTTGCAAACTACTCATATCTCTTATGTATATATATGGCGAAGTATCCGTCTTCCGCATGAAGATCTTGCCCTGCTTGATCCACACAAACTTGTAGCTTTTCTCTTTGGCTTTAAGGCGAGCAGCGGCATGGATTTTCTTGTTTAATGGAGAAAGATGTTCCGTTACGAACACGGGCGTCTTGCCAGCTATACCGATATGGCTCGTATTGATTTTTTCGTTAGAATTAGCCTTATTAAACTTTATTATCTTGGCTAAAAAGTTGTCCCTCAAACGAGGCGTAGCAAGTTTAACAATAATAGATCTTGGACGGCCGCTCTTTAAATCCATCTTTGCTACACGTGTACATACATGGATTTCAGCTTCTTTGATATCACAAGAAACGGTTTTGGCAAGTTGTAAGACTATGGTGAAAAGGTTTTCATTTTTGTGCTCTGGTACACATTGTATTTCAACATTTTTGGACCGACTATGCTGTTCTATAGTTTGCAGTCTAGCTGTGATGTCTCTGGTAGTATCAACCATGGATTGGTATTCTTTACGAATTTCAGATAAATTTTGCAGGTGCATGTCTAAGTTCTTCTTAATGGTATCATATTCGTCGTTTAAAAATGCTATAGCCTTTTCAGTTGCTTCTATCGTGCTTTCGAAGGAATGTATTTCTTCCTTAACCATATCTCTAACAATGTGTTTGAATTTATCTATCAACGAATTTTGAACAAGCTCCAGTTCTTCTCTAATTATGTTTCTTATATCGGTGGAAGTGAGAGATGATTGTGGTGACATTTCTCTGCGTCGCATTGTGACATTTTGAGCGCTGTCACTAATAGTGGGTGGGGAATATGCGGCAGTAGCACCGCGTAATGGTGTATTAAAGTTGTCACCTCCTCTCTTCCTAGCAACTTTACAATCTGGACATTCCCAGGTATTTATGGTGCTCCCAGTGCTTTTATCAGAAGAAGCAATACCGACACACAAATTGTGAAAATGTTTAAAGCAGTATATGCATTTGAGGTATACGTTATCTTCAATAAATTTCGGACACGCCGCACAAGATAATAAATTATTTTTTTTAATTTCTCCTCTTGTTTTAGGCATAGTTGTAATAAATTTTTTTTTTTACTATAGTTTTTGAACAATTCCTCGCGGAAAATAAATTAAAAAAAACAATAAAAAATATTTAGTAGTACCAAAAAGAAACAAAATCCAATAATTGTTTCGGCGTTGACTTGAACCCCGGATTATAGAACTTAGTCTAGGCGGTCAAAGCCGTTATAACATTAGGCCAAACGTTGCGCTATAATAGTGCTTAAAATAATGACTCAAATAAGAAACGGGTGATATAGTTATTAGGAGTAGTCCGAAGGTCAATTTTTTATATACAATTTAGCACTACCTACTAAATCCAAAGATTTTTATCACTATGTTTCACTCAACACAAATTTAAACTGTTATTAATTCGTCAATTTTAGCACTGTTTATAATATTATTTGTTTAAAAAAGTTTGTTTGTTGTTAAAATTTTGAAATAACACAGAACAAATTAAACATTTGAGTTTAGATACTTGTTTTCAATTTATTTTCGATAAGGCTATATTTCGTGACGTTGACACTGACGTATCCGTAAGTCAATAGTTTATTTTATTATATTTCAGTTATTTCCATAGCATAACATCTTATGGGATTTTGCTATGGGGAAATGCGGCTGATTCAGAAACTATTTTTGTTTTACAGAAGAGGGCCATATTTACAATCTAAAACCGAGAGAGTCTCTTAGAGATAAATTTAAAGAAATAAATATATTAACTTTGACCTCTCAGTATATTTACGAAAATTTAATGTATGTTCACAAAAACAAAGGTAATTTTAGTAAAAAAAGTGATATACATTCTGTAAACACTAGGAACAAACACAAGCTAGTGATAGCAGTTTCTCGACTCCACAGAGTCAGTAATTCATTCTTGGGGCAATGTATGCGTTATTACAACAAAGTCCCGGAAAGTGTACAGGCTCTCTCTATTACCAAATTTAAATGTTTTGTTAAGCTGAAACTGTATAAAAAGGGTTATTATAGTATAAATGAATACATTGTTGTTGATAATAACCACTGGGAATGAGGTGGTCGCTTCCAAGCAGTTTCTAAAATAAATTTTGTAAATAGTTTGTAATCATTTATATTGTAAAATTTATTTAAAAAAATGTCCCGCTGGGTTTCGTCCTGGTTCTTCCCAGGACATAGGTTTTTTTTCGAACTAGTGGTAAAGTAAAAAACGACTTTCAATAAGAATTACACATGTAATGTATATTGAATAAAAAATATTCTATTCTATTCTATCATTGCATTGACATTGGTAATAATAGTGATGGAAATGAAGTCTATGTTACAAGTAGCGGTCACATGTGTAATTCAAATATACACTGCAGCTGCATAGCCAAGGTCTAGGCCGATATAGAAATGTCAGAGATAAGTGGATCAATGAGCTGTATTGACATGTACATTACCAAGTTGGAGGAAAAGTTGTTGCTTGTGAGACAGTCGGTCTATTACGAGTACTCTAGGTTTAATACAATGTTACATCATTTTGTTTTAATGATTTCGTTTTTGTTGGCAATGTTCTATTCGCTATTCTCTATTTTTAACACGCTTTTATTGGTTTAGTATGTATATAGGTAACGGAATTTTGAATGTGATTTTCATCCTCTTCAAAACTTCGGATTGATTTGAAACTTATCAAGGACCGATTACAATGCAATAATTTAAATAATTTGTTCCATTATACTTACCAGGATCCTCAGAATTTGCAAATAATTCATAAAACAACTACGATTTCTGCCAGTTCAATCTACTGTAAGCTGCGTAAAAGAACTTCGTTTAAAAACACGCTTTTGTAGATAACCGAACAAAAAAGTAGAAAATACTTTTCAATAAGTTTAAAATAAGAATATAGTGATTAACATAAAAAAAATAAAATAAAATCAGCAAGAAACCCAGCGAAACAATAGTGAGTGTAGCGAACCGGAGACCTTACTCCTCAAAGCATCTGCGTTCATAATTGAAGATAAATGTAGATGTCTAAGAGCCACAACATCCACTTATTATCGGGGTACTGTATGCTCCTTTGTCAACAATATTTTAAAATGCGTATAGCAAAGGAGGGGAATAATTTACCAGCGTCTGTCTTTCCGTTTCATAACAGTTGATGTCTTCGAGGCCAGAGCTTTTGTTACGCTATGACAGTGCGATTCACCATTTAGATCTTCATCATCACTTATCATCAGACGGGATTATTATCCAGCATACATGGTGTTACGGCTATGATCCCTGAAAGGTAGGCAGAGTCCAAAGAGCCGCGAGCTACTGTGGCATTGTTAGCCAGTAAATATGGGCTTAGAAGGAAAACTTTGAAAGAAATGATAGTTGGCTGTCCATCGCCAACACAATCACAAATCTAATATACCATTATTCGCCTTTTACGGTAATAAAGGGATGAAGACCTGTCAAGCTTTACGTAAATTAGTTTGTTTTCGTAATTTATACATAAGATTCAGAGTCCCTCCACCCGCATGCACGCACGCATACACGCCCGTACGCACACACGCACTGACACACCACATACTAGGCGGGTCACGTACCATTATCATTCAAAGCATTGGTTTAAGATGCTAGTCAAAAGAGTAAATGTAAACTATACAAATAGTGATCGCAACTTGTTTAAATATTTATTGAATTGTGAGCATATTATCTTCCAGATTGCCGTGCTGATTTGCGCCTTAAGTGCACTGCTCGGCCTTACGTCAGCGAGACCAGACAGCGCCGGCAAGCATCCGTTACCCGGACCAGGCCTCTCTTACGGCAAGTACTACTTACGCAATGCAACAAGCTTTACTTGATTGTGTATTAACAAATGGGATACAATACAGCTGCGATCTGTACCTACACGTAATACATATTACTCGTTATTGACGTTAATTAATATCAGCTACTTAAAGACGAAAAGGTTTATATTATATAAGAAATAATATCTTTCATTTTCCTATAGCCATTGTAGAGTTCACAAAAAATGCAGAAAAGTGCATCAAACAAAATTTAACAGTGGTAGAGCCACGCGGCAGCTTTTGCTGTCGCACGGATGGGCCGGCTCGAACCGGGGTGGTATCACGACCTCACAGAATACCAGCGTGAAGTAGAGGTTTACCTCTGTGTTGCGCTTGGTGAGTGCAGGTGGTCGGAGGCCCTTTTTACTGGAAATGAGGCATTCCATCTTAGTCCTCACGGGAGGCAACGCATCTGCATTTTGATTCGCAAACGAGGATAGATGTACGATGTCTATGGGCCGTAGCAACCACTTACCATCAGGTGGACTGTGTGCTCGTTTGTCCCCCTAACCCAAAAAAAAAATATCAAGGAACTTTTATTAGATACATTGCAGTTCAGCATTCACCCGGCTACTCCACCGATATAAGGGTCGACCTACTGGACGACCATTCGGTCGACCCACTTAACATGCTCTGTTTCATATCCCATACACTCTTTATGACTGAGGCTGAGCTACCGGGGACGATGTGATTGTATTTTTCCAATGATGATTGGTTTGGCTTTAACTTTTTCTAATGAGAACATTTTCCGAAACATCTTCCTTTCTAACTGGACTAAACATTATTCCCAGGACCTTCCTCCAATTAATCTTCCGTAAATCGTTAATAATACAATTAAACGTTTCAGGTGGTATACCATACGGTAGCATGAGTGGGAATGTCGCAGAGTATTTTAAACGACAAGCGCCATCTTTGAGAAGTTTCTCGCACAGCGCTGCAGCGCACGATGTGGATTACGCACCAATTGAACAGTGGCTTTAATGTGGGCAACCACGACTCTTCTGCCACCAGGACGGCGCCACTTACGAATGAGGTGTAATATTTGACAGATTTCTCGGGGAAGTTAATTTGTTCTAAACATGTAAAGGTTAATGTTTCTTTCCATACTATTAGTTATATTTTATATTAATTACATTGAAAATAAATAAACCAAGCCACAGTTATTCCTAAAAGTAGAGAAATTAAAAAAAATTAAAATGTGTAATAATAAGAGAGCGAATCACTGAGGCATTGTTTTATGTATAAATTTAATACTCTAGAAACTTTTATTTAAAACTAACTTCTCAATTAAATGACATTCTGAAACAAAAAACTTCACCTGAGTGTCAACTAGCGATATCTAGTGAGCGGAAGACTATTTTAACATCGCACTAATTATTTATTGCTTTGTACAACAGATGGCACTTAAAGTAATAACAATAAAACATTCAAATGTTAAAGCACAACAGATAATTTATTATTAGGCTTGTAACTTATGGTACATTTTAGATTTTAAGTCCGTTACTTATAAATTAATATAAATAAACATGTAAATATTTATATGGAGATATTAAATTAATTATTAATTTAAATAAACAAACTGGTGCATACTAGTAAGTTATTAAATGGCTAATTATTTTTTTCCCAACCTTACAAACATTGGTAAAAAGTTTGGTAAAGAGTAATAAGGTAAGTGCGGGTAAGAAGGGGTAGCTAAGGGAAATTCGAAATAAATAATAAATATCCAATTTGGTCTTCAGATTTTAATAAAAACATTGGTTTAGTTTGGTCTATAAGGTATAAATGAACGGAAAATTGTAACATTTGCAATAAAGAAAAACAAAATTGAACATTTCTAAAACACTTGCTAGTAGGCCGTATGCTCATGCTATGCTTTAACGAAATTAAATAATCAAGCTATTCGTAAAATATTTTACATTTGTGATGAATAATAATCACACGAATGAAGTAAGTAAGACTTATAATTCTAAAAAATATATTAATTGCCCCTCCTAATAGCACTTAAAGTTATTAGTATAATGATGAAGAAACTGACAAACAAAAGCGCTCATCGTGATTATCAGCAGTGTGTCGGTTGTGTCTAGAGTTAAGTGTTAGGTTGAATTTTTTTTCTCGGTATTACTATTGACGCGAAGCTTCAATGGGGCCCCCATATATCTAAATTAGCAAGCAGACTTAGTTCTGCAGCATATGCTGTAAGAAAGATTAGAAGTCTCACAGATGTTGAGACAGCTAGATTAGTGTATTTTAGTTACTTTCATAGCGTAATGTCTTATGGAATTTTGCTATGGGGTAATGCGACTGATATTGAAGCTATATTTGTTTTGCAAAAGAGAGCCGTTCGGGCGATTTACAACCTAAATTGTAAAGAGTCCCTCAGACTAAAATTTAAAGAAATAAACATATTAACTTTGGCATCGCAATATATTTATGAAAATGTAATGTATGTACATAAAAACATAAATAGCTTTAATAAGAATAAGGATGTGCATACTTTAAACACTAGGAATAAACATAAGCTTGTAATACCAGTTACTAGACTCCACAGAATCAGTAATTTATTTATACGTTTTTACAACAAAATCCCAGAACATATTCAAAGTTTGTCAATAAACAAGTTTAAAAGTTTTATTAAAGAAAAACTGTACAAAATGGGTTATTATAATATCAAGGAATACATGAATGAAAATAACCCCTGGGAATAAGGTGATCGCCACCATGCTGGTTCTATGAAAAATTATTTAAAAATTGTATAAACGAAATTGTTTGAAAAAGAAAAGGTCCCGCTGGGTTTCTTGCTGGTTCTTCCCAGGACAGAGGTATTTTCCGAACCAGTGGTAGATAAAAAATGACTTTCAATAAGAATTATGTAATAATCGATATTGAATATAAAATTATTCTCTTCTATTCTTTTTATTCTATTCTATTCTAGTTGAGTATTAGGTTGATTGATTGATAGCGGCCAGTCTTAACGGAGACTAGCCTATCTGCACAGTGTTTACTTAATATGTTATTGATGACTATCCCACAGAGTTTGGATACTATAATTGCACTTGTCAATAAGTCCATTAGTACCGGCATATTCCCCGAAATCTGGAAAAGAGCCCTAATACGTCCTATCCCTAAGAAAGAAAATCCTGATGATTTCAAAGATTTAAGGCCCATTAGCTTACTACCATGCTTATCGAAAATTCTTAAGAAAGTGGTATATCACAAGTAACAGCTTATTTTGAAGACAATTGTCTCTAAGTCTCTACTCAAGTTTATACCTCTTTCAAGCCCATGAATACTACGGAAGCTATACGGGACCTCAATGAAGATCTCGATAGAGTACTGAAGTGGTCAGAAAGAAATTCTCTAGTGTTGAATGCATCAAAGACGAAGTTTTTAATTTGTGGTAGTAAACAACAAATAGAAAAAAATAAATTATTTCAATCCAAAAGTATATATAAAAGAAACTATGTAAGAAAGAGTGGAGAAAACCCATAATCTAGGAGTTATAATTGGCCCTGACCTCAGATTCGAAGAATACATTGCTGGTGTTGTTAGGAACTGCTTTTGTCGGTTAAAAATCTTGTACAGGATACGTGAGTATCTAAGTATCGAACTACGTAAGAGGTTATCTGACGCACTTGTATTATCAAAACTTAATTATGCTGACACTGTATATGGGCCATGTCTGCTGGCGCGCACCGCACACCTTATTCAACGAGTCCAAAACGCTTGTGCAAGGTTCTGTTGATGTGATGTGCCACCAAGAGGTCATGTAAGCCCATTCCTTAATAATAATAACATCCTTGAGATAGCCGCAAGACGGACACTCCACTTTGCTTGTGCTCTATTTGGTGTTTTGAAAACAAAAAATCCAAAGTATCTCTACTCTAAACTAGACTGGTGTCGTGAACACAATAAGTATCTCACGCGTGTTTCCTCTCGCATATTAAGTGTCCCTCGAAATAGTTCGGCGGCCTTCAGAGGTAGTTACAAATATACAGCCACCCACTGCTGGAATAATATACCTCCACCACTACGTAATCTAAAGACAATAGGGAATATATAATACTTGTCTATATTTCTGTCACTTTTAATATATATATATGTGTGTGTGTATGTATATATAGATATAAATGTATGTTTATGTATGTGTATATATGTATATAATCATATATTTATCATTAACATTTTAGTAAAACGTAGGGACTCTGCATACTACCGTCTACGGCACATCTCGCATCAGGTATAGAATAAGAAATAAAAAAATACTCGCTCGCATAAAATTGACCGTCAGAACTTCTTCGGGGCCGGCTGAAAATCAGCGCTGCAAGTTCGCGGCATATGCCGTGACGGTCCCTTCCACCACTTCATCATAGCACACCATTGTTTTGAATGGACGCACTTTTTTCTCTATTCTAATTTTTGTTTGTTTGTTAGTTCATAAGTCACTTGTTTTATTTGTAATTGTAATTTGTCATGTGTGTAGAAGATCATCGCTTCAAAATATTCGCTTGTATAGCCAATTCAATACTGAGCCGGTCGCGGTCTATACCGGTCTTATATAGGGCCTCAGGTAGTTTCTAGAACCTTCTACTTTAGAAACTTCTGGAATGTTCGGGTACACATCGGTGCCGATTGACTAGGTGTCGATAGTTCTAGAGAGTTCTTCCATGGAAATTTCTAGAATGTTATTGACTGTCCTAGTTCTGCTACTCGATACTGGAGGGCGCTAGTGGTAACTATTGTCGCCATGTACCATGTATTAATCGTGGCGCGCATCAGTAATAATAGACCTTCACTTGAAATCGCAGCTATCGCAGCAGAAAAAGATGCACTGACGGCATATCATGGTTACATCTCATCCATATTACGATATGGTGTTATGCTCTGCAGGTATTCGGTGGAATCGCATAAAGTATTTAAAGCACAAAAACGCCGCATAAGAACTCTTTGCGGTGTTAAGTTAGTCCTTTAGTGAGTTGCAAACCTTTATCCAAAACTAAAAAGATAATCTTATAGCCTTCAATATACATATTTAAAATGTGCATATTTGTTAATAGGCGTCAAAATTTATTTCAACGTAATTGTGAAGTTATTGAAAGTAAGAGTAGATACAGGAATAGGTTATACACACCAGAAAATTGCTTGAAAATTACAAAACAGAATGCCCCTGCCATGTTAATAAAAATTTATGATAAATTACCTGATAATGTTAAACATAAAATCTTATCGTTATTTAAGAAATCGTTTTTTGAGTTGATACTCACAAAATATTATTATACTGTAGAATAATTCTTAAATGACAATGACCTACTAATAATAAATGATATTTTTAGCATTACACATAAGCTGCCAATGATCAAGGGAATAATTTTTGGGTAATATTTTATATAAAATGTGACATAATTAATTAAAGATTTTGACATAAATGCAAAAATAAATTAAGGATAATTGAATATGTCACATTTATAATTGACATTATATAATGCTTGACAAATTAATATTAGTATTTGATATTGATCTATAACAATAAATTTACATTGGCATTTTCACTGACACTGTTACATAATTAATTAATTATCAAATCAATTGTATAATATTAAATAATTTATGTCTTGTTAAAAATTCGATATAAATTTTCTTTTTTAAAAAAACGTTACCGCCACACTAGGATTTTCTCCTGTATCGTGGAGGCAGTTTACACACATAAATTGCACAAGGACAAACATCCAGAACCGGAACAATTATTTTGTAGGCCATACAAATACTTGTTCCGTGCGGGATTCGAACCCGCGGCTCCCAGCGCAGCACTCATTGCTAAGCCACTGCCCCACGAAGCCGTATATATTGTTATAGTTACTTGATCATTAATATTTGCACACCACTAACGTAGAATATGTAGAGGTAATTACACTTGAACACCATTGTACAACCATATTCTTATAAATTAACATTATTATTATTATTGGGTATTAATATAGTTTTCT